CAAAGATCGACAGGTAATCCTGGTATTATCGCAATGCACGACAACAGAGTGTATTTACTGCGCGAAGCTACAAAGTATTTATATAATACATCATACATAGCTTTTAGTCATCCACTTGCATCTTTCAGTCTGTTCTGCAATCTGAAGTGTCTTCTCGTCTGGTCTCTGGGTGTTCTCTCAACTCCATGCTTTCGGTACACTGAAATCCTTCACTCCGTCTAACAATTTCAGCGACTTCGACACCACGTTCCTATACACACCACATACAAACAATCTTGTGAATGGCGTACGCGACAGTATCAGTTCATTTATAAACTAATATTCAATTTATCTGGAATATTTTTGATAATAATATAAAAGAAAGAATTGTTTAAGGTTTTGTAACGTCAAATAGCATCGATGTCATTATATAACATTAACTTGGTAATTATTTAGGGCATTTAAAGAAACCAGAATATAATATAAATACCTACGATTTATCGAACATCAGCAACGAATTACGTTACAATTAAAAGCTTAAACATTTATTTCGAAACAACAGTGTAAACCAGTGAGCATCATTCTACTTCCGATGAAATTCCAACAAAGATCTAGGTGAACCGAATACATTCATCAAAGCATGAATTTTATACAGCATTTATTTGTCTTTTCAATTTTATCACTGTAGGGTCGTGGAGGTTGATGAGCTTTTTTAAGATAATGAACCCACCAATTTCAGACCACTATTGAAAATCTGGAAGCAATGAAGTTTCCCTTAGAATGGGACCCCCCAGCGGTGTGCATCCACGATCCCGCGAGCGTTGACTGAACCCAGAACCTTCAGTCTCGCGCGAATGCTTAACCTCTAGACCAGTGAGCCAGGATCCAACGGTGCCAGTGTCTAACTTCGACCAATCTACGATATTGCGTGACCATCTTCCATTGTTTTCTGTGGGTAACTGCCTCATAGCCAACACGGTTGAACTCCACTGGCAACGACTTCTTTTAAATTTTAATTTCCAAGCATAAATAATATCGTTATGCTCCTATGGTCCGTCAAATATCACGCCAATCGGCATACCAACTTCTATGATCTTGTCCCCGTACTAAATCAACGATGCGTCAAACAGTACCGGCAGTCTTCAGTCAACTACGAGTCCTCATTGGTCCCTTGTATAGCAACTTCTTGCCTAGTTCAACCCGCTCAGTCTAGAACACAATCTCAGCCTCCACTGTATGAATCGTATATTTCAGACATACTTGGTTTATATACAGGCAGACCAGATCGCATCACACCATAAACTAAAAAAATAATGATTGTGCAAAATCAAGCCAAAAGTAGCTGTGAGTGTGTGATACTGTAACTGATAAATTGGGAATAAGTTCAGAATGGTAAATTATATTGCAGTAGCCAATAGGTCAAATGAAAGCTTATGATTATATATATAGCTGCTTAATATTTATTTAATATGTATAATAATAACTATTAGCAGTTACCATACATTGAATTTTCGTTCAGATATAACAAATATGTCCTTTGATTGAATATTATCGAAATATTGATATTACCAATCAACAATGTGATTTATTACAATGGAATGTATTTTATCAACAATATTTAGAACTGTCAGTTGCCTTATTGATTCGTAACCAATATTATTATTCTGAAATTATATAACATACCCACATTTCATACTAGTGATTAAATAATATTCGACCATGTAAACTCAAAAGGATACATTTTGGTGTACATAACTTTATTATTATTGTTATTATTATTATTATCATTATTATAGTTTAACTGTCATGTTCATAAAATACCATTTTTCAAGCAATACAGATCAATTATGCATAAAATATACTGAGTGAATGACTAGAGAGGGTAGATGTTCCGTAAAATAAGTACAGAACATATATTTTGAAAACAAAAGATTTGTTGGGTTGTACCCCAAAAAGGGTTGATAGATGTATCAATTCATTTATGTAGGTGGCTATATGTTTATTACAGTCACACTAACACACTATTTAAGTTATTTATTGAAATTCGAAGTTGTACATAGAATAACTGGTGTTTTCTAATTGTAAGCATTTAGTATTAACTTATAAGGAACGAAATTTTAGGACTAATTCACAGTTCTAAACGGATAAAATTCTTACCAGATATCATTGAAACAATTTCAACATTACATAAATTGGAACTACCTGAACAAAAACCAAATAATATTCAAGCTGTGTGGTTCATACTAATATTTATCCATACTAATTGCCAACTACGGAATCGGTGGATTGACAGAAATGAAATCGAAACCCATCGTAATCATAAACACTGACTATAAGGTGATCATAAACTCGAAAACGTTAAGATACCACTAGCACTGGTATTCAGCTTTCGTTCAACAAATCAAAATAGCACTTAACAAATGAATACTACTTTGATTTATTCTTCATAAATAATAGATCCATTTAAGTATTGTTGCATTACTAGTGTTTATCTGGGAAATATTTCTCCACGTACGAACTACATTGTATAATATTCTACTTAAAGTTACGTGGTGATATTATCAGTATTTACTTTATTCGTCGAATTATTTATCAGAATAGAAAGAGTGACTAATGAAATACTTGTGAAATCAGTTGAAGAGTAATTATAATAATGAGAGTTCACTAAAACTGATGTAATTCTTAGGTATTACACACTTGTAGCAAAGTGATTGTCAAGAATATGATTTATGGACGACCTTTGAACAAAGCTTAAGTGAACTTGAGAAATACTAGCCAATCAGGAAACAGTTAGTATAGATAAAATTATATTAAAGTGGATGCACATCTTCTACATGGTTCAAAAACTTGTCAAGGTTAGGAAGAGGTTCGGAGGTTCTAAAATCGTGATGCATACGGTAGACAAGCTCATGCATAATAGTCGGCGTCTCGAGCCATGATAAGTTCGTAAAAACTCCTTTAGCCTAGACCACTTAGCTTCAAAATTGTTAGTGTACACTCCTGTTGTAGGGTGGATAACGACATGATGCACATAACCAAGTCCATGGAGGCATCTGTACACTCTCCAATCATTTGTATATATTGTAGTGTCTAGTTGCACATATTCCCGTATAACTGATATTGTCGTTGCCTGTCGGTTTCTGACCCGTTGGAAGTGTCCATTTTGGGATGACCTGTCGTATATTCCAAGGACCTGCGAGGTATATTTATGGAACTGCTATTTACTCAGTCTTCTTTAATACTACGTCCTCTGTTAAATTTTCGTTTCCTGACTACTGTTTCGTCTATTTCGATGACTCTCCCAACTCCACCAAACGACTCATGTAAGCTTGTCATTTTTATTGCAAATATATCTCGACAGTGCTCACACCAATGAGTTCCCGGAGCTTCGGTAACATCTACAAAGGTTCCAGCCAGTGTGACTGGTGCTTTTATTATCCAATTCGCAACAGTTATCATGATTTGCCTTAGTCTCAATCGGGATCGAGCGAAAAAAATTTCTGTTATACCAGACTTCTTCCAACATATATTACGTCGAAAGACAACCTAATCACGGTAGTCTGCACACGGTACAGCAGTGATTTGATTACCACAGTCACAAATAAAAGAAACTTCTCAGTAACCCAATTTGTTGTAGCCGCTCAATTATCACATCTCTAAAATCCGCTGTAAACTGATCGTATGTGAGCATCGAGTACTGAAATTGGCACCGTGACCTTGAGATCCCTCAAACGCTTCTGATTGGCTCATCAACAAATTATAGTCTCGCTAAGTGATTGACTAATCAGCTGATAAAAAAACTACAAACGTAACTGATTACCAACGAATAATTGTCGTTTGATGGTATCATGTATAGCTACTCATATGTATCATATCAATAAAAACATTTAAAATACATTTCTAATTAGGTATTCAAGAAATATAGTCAACTGATTTTATTAATTTGTGACGGTGCTATTAGAAGTGTTATCAAGTCACCAAAAAAACCCATTTTAATTTTTCAAATTAGCACATTGGAAATATAATACTGAGATAAGCCAATCAGTTGAATTCAGTGGGTTCGTAGTATAGTCGATTCCGTTGTTATTTTAAACCATTTAGTATCATAAACTCAATAGTAGTTTAATTTTCACGATTAAAACAACGGATTATTCCGTCCAGCAAGTGTTCAACATCAGTGGTGAGATCCGGTCCTTTTGATGCAACGAAAAACTTAAGTTGCGTAATGCACGAGTAAGAATATTTTAGTCAAAAATAATGAGTCAACAATAATAGACTAATATTACTCAAAGTCAATGAATCTAATACCACTTTGATTATTCTTTTACATTGTAGAAATTATTCAGAAACAACAAGTTTACTTATCACTCAAAGTGAGATTTAACGAAAAAGAGATTAATTTGTACTTGGATTTGAATAAAAACGCAATTTTTTCTTTATTGATATTAGCTGTTCAACTAAAAAATAGATTTGTAATGTCAAATTATGCATTAATTACACGATTTAACTCTGATAAATACTTCTTGACTTGGTGGTTAAGACAATCGTGGTTCACCTGTTAGGTTTTAAACTCGAATCGCTGCTTCGTTTGGGCAACCGGACAGTATCCCGAAATCTCATACAAACAATTTGGCTCGAATTCAAGTACATAAACCTGTACCAGGAAAATGAGTTACATTATTTATTGCTTACGTATCTAACTATAACACCATATGCAGAACTGCAATAACTTTAAGACTTATATTAATGATTATTGCAAGAAACTAAACGATTCTGTGATTTTTACTTCAAGTTTAATAATGTCACTTGTATTGTAATCATTATATAAACACTGAACAAAGTTTCCTAAGGAATATATATTTATCTGTAATGGAAACCTTCATTTATATTTTGCTCATCAATAGTACTTCTATGAATTAGCCTATCTTGTTTCCGAAGACACTAATAAGTTAACTACTCTATGTAGATAATCTAATCTATTGTGAATTTGCCTGAGACGCTTTTTTATGAAGACAACTGTATAATTGAAAAATGGTTTATCTTCAAAATGGAGCCATGCAAACCTGGTGAAATAACTTCATTAATTGATGACAGATATAAGTATTTGGGCATAGATAAACATTTATAATTTGATAACAAAATTCTTTAATATTTAAGCAAATTAAACAACTATTATGTTTTTCTGCACGGCATTCAGCTGTATGATAAAAGTGAAAAACCCCTAATTTAATGTGAATACGTCAAAAGCTGAAAATAACATTTATCAGTCTAAAATCACACAGGATGAAAAATTTTCTATGCCAGTTACTAACTATAGTTCAAAAAGTTTGTTTTTTATCGTATGACTGAAATGAAACATTTACTTATCAATAGAATAAATATTTATCAAAAACCATTGTCGGTTTTGAAGTACATATAGAATAATCGAATGTGTATAATAACATTCACATTTTTCTTTGAAGTTAATTGTTTTGTATCACTTTAGAAAATTTCAACTTTTAGACTAATATTTATGTAGAATAAATATATTAGCAATTATGCGAAAATTAAAATTTTTAATTTATTTATCTACTCATAAACAGATTACCAACATCAGATAATCGAATCTGTAATAAACATAAAACATCTGGTTGTATTAATCTAGAGTTATCAATTACCGATTGTTTCAACTTTTATTTACTACATAAAAGTAAACCAGTAGTAGGAAAATTCCCACTCCAATATTCACTAAAAAGCAAGTAAAGAAAAGAAATAATTATATATATATATATCACTTATCAACATAAACTTTTCTTGTCTGTTGTAACTTTATGCAATTTGTTTACTCCATGTTATATGGTTTAAATATTAGCTGGAAAGCCCTGGACCTATGTTTAGTCCTAGTTTATATTCATCAGTAAAGCATACCTGCAATCTTGAGTAGACTAACATTCCTTTTAATAGTGGAACTTAAATCATCTAGTATACGTATAAGAGATGTTAGGACTGACAGACGTGGATAGTGACTGCTCTGCTTTTGGACTTAGACTTTTACAATAATTAATCACTGAGTACTAATCAATGTTATAAATGTCTGAACCTTAGTACTCACCGAACACAATCTACTCAGTTCAAGGTTTAGATAACTCAATCAAACCTAGATCTAGGGCTCCCAGTCGATTACCTCTCATCACCTATCATAAAACTGCACTTGATTTTGATCCACCTCGACTACTGACTGTGTTGAAACATAAATGATAGGATTATACTAACATTGAGTGCTAGACAAGCATGATAGTGATCATACGGTGTATCATGTTTACTCGTTCGTCACATAGAACTCAAAATTGGAATTTGTACTTGTAATCTCTAATGTAAAACTTGATTTAAATGGCTCACACCAATGTTCAAAAGCATTAAAACTACTTAAGTTATGAGGACTAATTATTTTCTTTGTAGAACGGATATGCACCTTCGTTAGCTATCTACTGGTCAAAAGTAGCTCACAAATATTTATTCAACAACAACCTTATCATTGTACTTTGCATTTATTGCACTCAATCTGACTCATCCTTTAATTTTTCTATCCACACTCATCACTAAAGAATATACAACTCTGCACAGATACTTCCTAACCCATTCAACATTAGCTTATCCATCACTCAATAGGCCATCTTAGTCGATAGAATTTATTGACAAATAAACCACTGTTCTCTATATTCATACATATAAGGCTCATATGCATGAGACATTTGAAGAGTAAATGAATAATAGTTATCAATAGCACCAATTTTAAAGTCTGAAGACGTGTTCAGAATAACTCACCTTCACTTTAAATTCCTATAACATACATTTCTGAGAATTATTAGGACATAGTTGTCTCAGGACTGAAAATAACAGTATTTGAAACTTTAAGAAAACTCCCATAAGAGTTCGATAAGCTTTAAAAGATTGTTTTATGTTTGTCACTGTCATTTCTATTCGTTAACTATTATTGACGTAAGGAAATTATTGAGGAAACTTTATTTAAATGGCTCACACCAGTGTTCAAAAGCATTAAGAATTATTGTGATTGTCGTAATCTCCTCTTGTCGCTAAAATGAAATTAAAAATGTATAATTAATTATATCTGTCAGTTATGATCAGAATACGTGTGTTTTAGGTAAATGATGAAATACCCGCTAATTTTTCAACCCAAAATTCAACTGTCTCTACTGTAAAATTACATTTTTTATTAACGAATGGGACGATCTCACTGGACACCTCTACAGCACTTACATCAAGGTAACCAATGCATTTGATTCTTAGTGGAAGAATAAACACTAGAATGTAAATACATCTAGAAAATTACTCTAACGTATGATGAACATTCCAGTACATTTATTCTGCCTATATTTAATGAAACATCATTCTGAGTGAAATGATGTTTATATATACAATTACTGTAAATTAGACCATTCTATTAAGCATAAATCATTTATGAATAGAAAAAATTTATCCTGTTTATTTTTTTTCAAAAAAAACGTTCTGTAGACAAATTAGGCAAGAATAATGCGAAATCATGGAAACGAAAATGTGAAAATTGAAATTCCACTATTGATAAAAAAAGAGATAAGCACCAAAAAGAGTATCAAAGCCAGTGTAGTATTAAAAGTATATATAACTTGATGCAATTACATAAAAACTCTTTAAACTCATTGTTTTTTATTGCGTGAGACACTTTAAATACAGATACAACAAGTAACTACAAATTAAGAGTATACTGTGTTGAGGATTATCAATTTTAAAAAGTAGAGCATACATACACTGAATAATAATGTCTGTTGTTCGAGATTTCCTCCTAAATTTACCGACTTTTCATTTTAAACAGAATAACAGGCGGTATAAATAAGCCAACAGAACAAATAGTTATGATAATATTAGCTATTTCTGCGCTACTTGTATACTGAAATGCATATTGTAATAGACTGAATATACCACCGATTGAATTTAATATACCACATACTGTTCCGAAGTAATGTACAGGAAAAGCAGTCAAGCAAAAGCCAACAGATGCACTAAATAACAATGAACGTAGCATAACAAAAAACAGAAATGCAAAATAATAAGCCACACGATTCGGTATGAATATTAAACAGCTTATGAGCATAGCACAAAATGCCATAAAAAGTAGTGCAGGCGCTAAACCGAATATATATGTATAATAAATTTGACTTTTATGATGCTGGTCATTTATATTATAGTCATTCCGCATAATTTTTCGCCTACAATAGGCTTGCGATATATCCATTATGAAACCAGTAATTGGAGCGGCTAAAAATCCACACATTGAAAATGCTGATGAAATTTGCAATAGATGATCAATGGTTATTATGTCGTTTGGAAACAATTCGTTTATGATACGTTGTAATTGTCCAAGAAATGTTGAAAAACGAAATAATCCAAGCATAAACCATATTGTAATAAGCAAGAATGGTAGCGATATTATACAATCTTTTATTGATTGATAACGGAGGTCTATTATCACCTTGATTCTTCTAGATACTTCAATATTTTTTGCCTCTTTATCCAATGATGGCTGAAAATGAAAGTAAATAGTCAAACATGAAAGATCATGATCAGTTAAAAATAAAAATGTGATGGACAATTACTTTTTAATCTGCCTCGATAGTTTTAAATTGTAATGAGGAGTTTTATGTTTCTCATTAGTGAAGTTTATATTTCAATTGGTGTGTTAAACTCAAGCGCAAACTTTTTATTAATACTAATAGCAACAGTTGTATTGATAGCAATATCAGCATAACATAGGCTTAACTATATTCATCTTATATTTCAATCCAAGCAATCACCACGTCACTTTGTCAGGTAATATTATCAATCAATATTATTCAATGAGATCATTTGACAACATTCATAGGAAGGAAATTTTGGACATTTAACTTTTAAACAGTATTGATGAATTCATCTACTGAACATTTATCTGCTGTTTTTCAAGATTCAGTCGAAACATTTAGTCACAGTTAAAGTGAGAGCAAACATAGTAAACATCAATAAATAATTACAAATCCATTGATCAACCACTGTTATTATAATTATTTTTTTCTACAATACACCGATACTGAAGAAAAAGTACCAGTGTCCATGTTGTTAGTTTTTACCATGCTAAAACTCATGTTACACCGAATGGTAGCTCACATTTTTTCATAAGATAACTTTATAAGCAACTTCAGTGGGTCCATAATTTATGGACGACCTTTGAGAACGTCCATCTACTAACTAAGACTAAATAAGTTATAAACTAGTGTGAGGAAATAGAATTAGGATTTAAAGTTAATGGTTATCTATTATTTATTTATTTGAACACATAAATATTGAAATATTCCCATATTGTAAATTTAGAACAACATATATAAGCGAACAATATTGTTTTCGATTAGATCCTCATCAGGCTTTACTCTAATATACAGTAATATTTATATGCATATACGAAATTATTAAACCAATCAAGGTAGTTTATAAGTCAATGATAACAATGGAAAAGATTACATAATAAGTAAAATGTGAAAAGTACAAATTGATGGTGTGACAACAGGTGCATTAGTTTTTTGATAAGCAATAATAATAAAGGTTCAAATCAATGTTACATAATCTGAAATAGGTCAATGATTAGAAAAATATAGAAACTGAGATAACAATTATAAAATTATAAGATGACGTAATAAGAAATGTTCAGATAATTGGACCATGAAACGTATAGTTGAGAGAAAATAAAGTGGTAGGAGGGTGTGAAGAAAAATAATAAACAAAGAGAATAAATAAATAAATAAATACATTCATTTATTACTTAAGGCCAAGGGAGAGATAAGGGAGTTACAAATTTCTTCTGGACACAAAGACTTGGCTTGTTGGCTCGAATTCCTATAGCTTCTGCTATGTGTAAGAGACGAGATCGAACACCATAAGGAAAACTAGTGGGAATCCGATAAATAACTTTGAACGACTTGTTTCTGTCCACCATATGACCGCTATCGATCAAGTGTGATAGAACCGAGCTGCGTATTGTTTTGACATAGCCTTTTCCTAACCACGAAGGGAGGTGTTCACTAACTCGTCGGTTCAGTTGCCTGGTAGTGCGTCCGATATAGCTTTCTCCACAGGAGCAGCTGAATTCGTAGATACACATAGAAGTGGCATAACCAGGTAACTTATCCTTCAATTGCGGAATCACCATCGATCGGGTCGAATACGATAGGCAGAGGTTGGCAGCATTAAAGCACTCAAGCCTACTGGATCGAACACACCGCGACTATATGGTTTACCTAAAGTTCACAAGACAGGTCTTCCTCTTCGCCCAGTTTTAGATATGTATAATTCGCCTTATCATAAAACTGCAAAGTGGCTAGTTCGTATCCTAAACCCCTTACACAAATTAGTCGTCAATAGAAGCGTGAAAGACGTCTTCGATTTCATATCTAAAGTGGAACATATAAATTTAAATGGGAAACGAATGATATCTTTAGATGTTGCTTCCCTGTTCACCAATGTCCCGTTAACAGAGACTATCGATTTTGTGTGCCAACAACTGCAGGAAAAACAAATCAATATTGGAATTCCTGGGGTTAGTCTTAAAGAATTACTTTTAAAATGCACAATGAATGTCCATTTTGTCTTTAATAACACATATTATAGACAAATTGATGGTATAGCGATGGGTTCGCCACTAGGTCCCATCCTTGCGGATTTTTTTCTGGCGAAACTAGAAAACGGACCTCTCAAGGAGGTTATCAATAAACTGGATTTCTACTGTCGTTACGTTGATGACACCTTCATCATTGCCGATCAAAACCTTAGAAAAGAACAACTACTGGAACTATTTAATAACAAACACCCTGCTATTAAATTTACATGTGAGGAGGAAATAGATAACAAACTAAATTTTCTGGACGTTTTGTTAAGTAGAAAAGAAGATGGTTCTATCAGCAGGGGTGTGTATAGGAAAAGTTCTTCGCCTAGCCAATACACACATTTTTTAAGCTTTGTGCCTCTTCATTATAAGAGAAACTTAGTCAAATGCCTTGCAAATAGAGCTCTTAAGATATGCTCAGTCGACACTATCGATAGAGAATTACAACACATTCATAATATTTTGATTGAATTAGGATATCCACTGGGTTTCCTGAAGAAACACTTGCGCGTAAAAAACAGGAAAATAGTGACCCTGACGGCTAATAAGAAACCACTTTTCTTGAAACTGCAATTCAATGGTGATGTGGCTAGCGATGTATTACGAGATAGATTGACTAAATCAATAAAGAGAACGTTTAATGCTGCCAACCTCTGCCTATCGTATTCGACCCGATCGATGGTGATTCCGCAATTGAAGGATAAGTTACCTGGTTATGCCACTTCTATGTGTATCTACGAATTCAGCTGCTCCTGTGGAGAAAGCTATATCGGACGCACTACCAGGCAACTGAACCGACGAGTTAGTGAACACCTCCCTTCGTGGTTAGGAAAAGGCTATGTCAAAACAATACGCAGCTCGGTTCTATCACACTTGATCGATAGCGGTCATATGGTGGACAGAAACAAGTCGTTCAAAGTTATTTATCGGATTCCCACTAGTTTTCCTTATGGTGTTCGATCTCGTCTCTTACACATAGCAGAAGCTATAGGAATTCGAGCCAACAAGCCAAGTCTTTGTGTCCAGAAGAAATTTGTAACTCCCTTATCTCTCCCTTGGCCTTAAGTAATAAATGAATGTATTTATTTATTTATTTATTCTCTTTGTTTATTATTTTTCTTCACACCCTCCTACCACTTTATTTTCTCTCAACTATACGTTTCATGGTCCAATTATCTGAACATTTCTTATTACGTCATCTTATAATTTTATAATTGTTATCTCAGTTTCTATATTTTTCTAATCATTGACCTATTTCAGATTATGTAACATTGATTTGAACCTTTATTATTATTGCTTATCAAAAAACTAATGCACCTGTTGTCACACCATCAATTTGTACTTTTCACATTTTACTTATTATGTAATCTTTTCCATTGTTATCATTGACTTATAAACTACCTTGATTGGTTTAATAATTTCGTATATGCATATAAATATTACTGTATATTAGAGTAAAACATAAATATTGGTAAAAGAATGCGCCAAATATGTATGCGCCACAACTGTTCATCGCAAACGATGGACAGTTAATGGTTACAGTTAGAAATTAGATTTAGGGCTTTGGTCACGAATTGATATCGACTAAAATGCCAAAACGCTATTTAGCCAAATGGATGAGTGAATTTTGTGCTAAAATCCAAGATCTGTTATCTTATGTCTGATTGGTTCGTCCATAAGTTGTAGTATCGGCGTAACTTTCAAAAGAAATTTATTTCATTCACAAATTGTATTTAACAGTATAATGTTCAACATATATATTATCAAAGCATCATTTGTATGTGGAGATATGATAAAAAAATGTATATCTACTTTAAGAGGATCGTAGCTAGAGGAGAAACGACAAGTAATGCATCTACCATCCAGTAATTCTTATTCATACCGGAAATAGGTTTTGCATCTAAGTCACTAGGGAGATTGTTTGACAGCATTAGGATCATTCACCTGTATTGATATTCCAATTCCTTGTAAACCTCAATCATCAACCCCACATACTAATACTAAGGTACTTAATATCATTAAACCACAGGATATATCTTTGACGGTATTAGATAATCGGTTGTCACCAGGACGTTTCTTGTCGCCCATACATAGAATGTATTAACAATCTAAAGACATCTAAAACTCACTTATGAATGATAACAACGAATTCAAAGGTCCACATATCATCAATACTGAAAAAGAATATAAATAATCAAGTGTGTAGTGTAGAACTCCGTCTGTAGCTCCTCTAGAGTTACTGCTGATCTCAATCCCGGGTAAAGAAGGAGAGATGAGCATGGGGTCGGCAACCTCATCCCATAGAAAAAACCTTGTCAGCAAAGAAGCGAACCAGATTAAACAAATCAAACCGTTTAAACTCTGCCCCCTGAGTTCAAGAAAGAACTATGACGCCTCCGGATGAAAGCTGAGATTATTCGGATGTCGTGAGACCGATGTCTCTTCTAACAACTAGACCAACATTATTTATAGGTAGATGGAACGTCCGGACAATATGGGAGACCTGGAGGACTAACCAAATAGCAGCGGAAATGAGGAGACACAACTTGGCAGTACTCAGAATCAGCGAGTCATTGGACCCAAGTTGGACAGCAAAGGCTAGATATGGGAAAGATCCTGTTGTACTCCAGTCACGAGGAGGAAAGTGCCCCCACACACTCAGGGAGTTGCTCTGATCCTACTCAAAGAAGCACGAAATGCATTTATACGATGGGAATCTAATGGATCCAGAATCACCATAGCACCCATCAAAACAATGAAGGCAATCACAAGAAATGTTGTGCACCTACCAATGATAGCAACGACAACGATAAAGATCAGTCCTATGAGAGGCTGCGATCAATCATAGTGAAATGCGCAAGAAAGGATCTCGCCATCCTAATGAGAGACCTAAATGCCAAAATCGGAATGGACAACACCGGATATGAAGATATCATGGGACGACACGGACTGACTGGGAGGAACGAAAATGGGGAGAGGTTTTCAAATCTATGCACATTTAACAACTTGGTCATAGGTGGCACAATATTCCCACACAAACACACAAAGCTACATGGGTCTCACCGGATCACACCACGAAGAACCAGACAGATCATATTTGCCTCAATAAAAAAATCAGAAGGACCAAAGAACCAGGAGATCACCACTTGGTTGTAGCCAACATGAAACTGAAGCTAAAAAAATACTGGACAGCTGGACAAACATCATTACGAAGGTTCAATGCAGTGTTCCTTTGATATACTGACAAACTTAACGAATTCAAGATAACTCTGACGAGTGGAACTCATCATTATACATCAACTTCATTGACTATAAGAAGGCATTTGACAGTGTGGATAGGAGGATTTTATGGAAATTTCGTCGACACTATGGTGTGAGTATCTGAAAAGATCGTCAATATCATACGGAACTCATACGACAGACTACAGCGCAAAGTCGTGGATGGAGGACAGCTGACAGATGCATCCCAATTAAGGGCCCGAGTCAGACAAGGCTGTTTGTTCTCCTCCTTCCTCTTTCTTCTGGTGGTTGACTGGGTTATGAAGACCTCGACATCTGAGGGAAAACACGGAACACAATGGAAAGCTCAGAAACAATTAGACGATTTGGACTTCGCAGATGACCTAGCCCTTTTATCCCATTTATTTTTTTTATATTTTAACACATAAATATTGGTACAAGAGGGCACCAAATATATATGCGCCACACCATACTTGTGTGTGTGTGCTGTGATACTGCCCGGGTGCCCAGACCGAAGCAGGCCTCCTATCACATACACACGAACAAACGCAGATGAACACAACTAGTGTAGCAGCAGCCTCTGCATCAGTAGGCCTCAATATACACAAAGGAAAAAGCAAGATTCTCAAATACAACACGGAGAACATCAACCCAATCATACTTGATGGAGAAGCTCTGGAAGATGTGGAATCCTTCACGTACCTGGGCAGCATCATCGATGAACAAGGAGGACCAGATGTTGGTGTTAATGTAAAGATTGGTAAAGCAAGGGCAGCATCCATACAGTTAAAGAACATATGGAACTCAAAACAACTGTCAGTAAACATCAAAGTCAGATTCTTCAATACGAATGTCAACACAATACTATTGTACAGAACTGAAATGTGGAGAACCACTAAAACTAACATAAAAAAGTACAAGCATTTATGAACAATTGTCTACGTAAGATACTCCAAATTTGTTGGCTGGCCACTACCAGCAACAACTTACTGCGAGAGAGAACAAACCGAATTCCAGGTGAAGAGGAAATTAGGAAAAGACGCTGGAGTTGGATAGGATATACATTGCGGAAATCAACAAACTGCATCACGAGGTAAGCTGGAACTTGGAATCCTGGGATGAGACGGAAAAGAGGAAAGCCAAAGATTATATTATGTCAAGAAGTGAAAGCAGACATGAAAAGCACCTAGGAAGAACTGAAAAGGATTGCCCAGGACAGAGTTCGGTGGAGAGTGCTGGTGCGCGGCTTATGCTCCCCCACGAGGGGTAACAGACGTAAGTAAGTGTAGTGTAGAGTAACAAAATTCCAAACCACCCAGTCTACAAACGATGATCCATTTATGTTCCTTTCAATCTAGCTGAATAATTACCAGCAATTATGTGAATAATCCTATTTTGACAAACTTCAAAACACATTCCTATTATAAATTGGAGTTTACAAGGTGATAAATATCCTTCCCAGTTCCTACCATCCAAACATTGGAAAGTAAAAACTACAAGTTGATTTAATTATCAAAGTTATCATATTGTCTAAAAAGTATTACCGTGTTTTCATTATTATCCCTGACGCATCCTTGAGACAGTTTCTCCTGTTCACCAACATTCTCACTTGTTACAGCATCGCTAAAGTTGTTTGCAAATTTCCTCATGTCATCTGATCTTGTGGTTAAAATAAATGTAGCCATGAATAGACCAACACATATAGAAACAATCGCTAGGATAATGAATGATTTCTGTAATGAAAACTGTGAATATGTTTCAGAAAGTATAAATGCTATTAGTGTGCTAGAGTCAAAAGCACCAGAGAGAAGAGATATTCCGAACCCTCGATATTTTGGAAACATCGAAGTGATATGTTGATTGCATATAAGATTTGAAGTACTTCCTATAGCGACCAATATACCGGCAATATAATACAATGGTTCTGTTTCCCTATGAATAAAGGCAAATAATAGTGTTCCAACAAAATACATGGTTATAGCTACCAACTTTAAAGCCCTTAATCCAACTTTATCCATGAATATACCAGAGAATGAAATAAGACAATTTTGCGTGACAATCCAAACAATAAAACCATTTCCAAATATAGAGTCATCATATAAACAGGTGTTCGTTGCATTACTACAATTATATGCAGACACCCCTAATGATTTCCAAGCTGGTATAAGGGAATTGAAACCGTAGTAATATCCTCCAAAAAAAAATAGTTCCAGTATTCCAACAGTAATCCCAACCCATCTTCTGGTTTTTGGTTGACAAAGACCGTCAAGCTTCTGACCTACAAGTAAAATAAAAACTCAGCAAATAATTAAATTCAAAGAGATCGAAAAACAGTTAAATTTTTGAAAAAGAATAACTATATAAGACTAATGATTACTGTCGCTAACGACAGAGACTTTCAGCGACGGGCTTCCAAGACAAACTTTGTTAACGGAGTTGTTTTGAGAGAGAATAAAGTATATTAGGTCTTAATAACAAAAAACAGCTATGTATTTTCGAGTTGACAATTTGCCCATAATTTCAAAAACCAAATACATCCAAGTCATTGATTGAACACCAAGGACTGATAAATAAAGAAGGCAGAAGATATACTAACAGTTTTCTTTCAGATGTCTGTCTTCAAAAATCAGATTTCATACAACACTTCTTCAGTTTAATAACCTATCGAGTCTTTTCCAAAGTTAATACTTTTGTTACGAACTGAAACTAAAGAGAACGATGGAAAAATAAATCCCTATAATCTAGTTTAAAATATCTCAGCGGCTTTCGTTCTGAATGAACATAAGCACAGAAAACAAAGGTTTCGTATATAATTTTAAATGAGACAAATTAGTACATATAACCTTATCATAAGAAAACTGGCTCTTACTGACTAATGACTCACAAAGACAACGTAAATACGATAAGTTAATATCAGTAAATGGATTTTCCAAGGTCAGTGTGAGGAGCTGTGAACAGCGAAAGATTACCGTGGCACCCTAATAGGTATTCATAAAAACAATAAATGGTGATCGTATTGTATATAACATCTTTGATATCACCCACATAAAAAGTAAAATACAATTTTATCGCCAAAATTTAGCAAGAGATGAGAAAATACCGGTGGCCCGTTATCCTATTTGGTGCTTCATGTGAGTATTATACTGAGTGATTATATGTCATATTGATTAGTAGTTTACTCTCATCTAGACAGTTATCCAGTTACCGAAGTTTTACACTGAAAGATCATAGAAACTACTTCAATTCACTTATATCGTTCACGACATTTCTTGATAGTTGAGAAGACTGGGAATACTTTAAAAAACAAGTCAGTGTTATTAAATATGAGGGATTATAATAAATCATTCATGCCTAAGAAATTTGAATCCTAGTACAAAAGAGCGTTGACAGATCCGCATCAGCACGAATAAAAAAATCAGTAATACGAAAGTCCGAAAACGCCAAATAAAATTATCAACGCCGTGCACATTCGAATAACAAAGTAGCTGATATGACGAGTAATAACCTAATCAGTTGGAATGAAAATGACGTGGAATTAATTTTTTCCATTCGTTTGTGATGCGTATTTACATCTTAAGAAGGTTGTTAAAAAGGTTAGGAAATTGAATTGAGTCTTCATTTAGCAAGACATCAGTAATAAAACTACATTTGCTGTGAGTCATTTTACTCACAATTTCCACAGAACTGACACACTCGCTAGATATGAATGTCAGTCAGTCAGCTACAACGTAGGATCAGGTACATATGTGCATCGGTCCAGGTTGCCATACCGCATCAGCACAACAAGATGAACACCGGATTCATAGCATGTAAGAGAAAGATTGCATATAGAGATATAGTACAAGAAGAAAGAATTGGTTCGTAGAAAGAAAGATATGAAGTGATTTTAATCTCTTAGTTTAAGGGAAGACAGGGAGTGTATACGCCGACGCCATTGTGATCGATTCTGAGCCATGTCACCAAGAGTCTCCAACCATTGGTTACGATAGTCACGCAGACCCCAACCAAGTAGTCTGCATCTGCCAACATGGCTCAGACTAGAAGTTAGTGACTTCAAGCACTGATGCCACATTTTAGTTTGGCCGCCCCTAACTTTCTTCCAACCATTTCCAAAACCGGATTATATCGGAAAAAGACGATACACTCATCTGCTCCCAGTCCAGGCGTTTAGAACGATGGGCGGAACATTTCAGCTGGCCTTCAGATACTCTACAACTACCCTCCATTCCCAGACAGTGTGAATGGAACATTGAAGTAGGTCCCCCAACTCTTGCTGAAGTTCAAAAGGCTATAGTTAATCTGAAACGAGGAAGGGCAGCTGGTTCAGATGGATTGGCTCCAGAGGTCTTTAAGGATGGTGGTCCAATTTTAGCGATTACGTTAACTAATATTTTAGCTAAGATCTGGGAGTTAGACGTTATTCCATCTAACTGGTCACAATCACTTATCGTCCCAATATATAAGAAAGGGTCAAAATCATCCTGTGACAACCACAGAGGGATTAGTTTAACTAATATAGTATCTGAAATACTAGCCTCGATAATTATCAGACGCCTAACTAAGACTCGTGAACTGCAAACACGAGAGAACCAAGCTGGCTTTAGACCTGGTCGTGGCTACATCGACCACATATTCACCATTCGTCAGATTCTAGAACACAGGCATACTTATCGGCGTCCGACAATGGTGGTCTTTCTCGACTTAAAAGCAGCATTTGACTCGGTAGATATGAATGTAATTAATAATGATAGTATTTTTGAGGACCGTTTCATAATTAACCAGTAATACAGCGAAATAACTTTTGTTCATTACACCCGAACATAGATTTTACAATGCCTAATGCGAAACAAACCCAAAAGTGAAGTGGGAAGTAAACAATCTTTTTCCAACTAAAGTGGTCCCAACAGCTCTAAACAGTTATTTTTCATTATTTACAACTTGAATTATCTCCGTAGGTTAACAAGATGTCAACGGGCGGTTCCGAACCATTCGAATCCTGAACTTGAAAAGCATGATTCCAGGTAAAACATTTCCGACAATTACTACTAAAATTTCATGCTATTGACTATTTGTATAATTTTTTGCGCAACACAGCACTTATGGCTTACTAAATGAATCATAAATAAATGTTAGTATAAACGTAACCACTTGCACTGCAATTGGTAAACTAAAGGTGAAAGTGTTTTTAGGCAGCACATAAGCAGTAGAATTATCATTTGAATGGTAGTGTGGTGTGGATTTTTGTTCAAGAAGAGCGAATTGCCAGTTAGTATTGCTACATTTCTCTACTGAAACATTAGACAATCGGAATCGAAAACCACAGTCATTCAGTTAGCTACGACTCAAAACTAGGCACATACATGCATTGGCTTAAGTTGTCACACCTCACTGACACAACAAGATGAACACCAAATTCATAGTAATTAATTAAACTTCTTAATTTAAAAGGCAACCTGGTTTCGGACTGTCTTCATAAATGGCCTAAGGGTATAAATAACGTAGCACAGTTGCACCAGCGACTAACTGAAACCTGGCTCACGAATAACAATTCTTTAACGAGAAATATCACTGAAAAATGAATTTTTTCTAGGGAAACAACCAGCCACAGAAAACCAAAACTTTTAATAAACGAGTGGTAAGTTGTTAATCAGTGAGTTTCATGACTCTTTGTGAGCCAAATTACCGGAACTTCATTAGATTAAGGAGTTGTGGTTTGATCCATTACTTACTACTCCCAACCAGCTACTAGCTCTTTAAAAACCTACCACTCAACCTTCTTGTGCAAATTTAGTTGGGGTTGAGTCCTGTGAATTTTCATGCTAGATTAAGGCGCGAAAAATACCTTTCATATAATACTGAACCTGTAATCACAAGGAACGATCGGAAATTATCACAGCATCAACTAAAACGACTCACTGACACAGGAATATGTAAGAAAATTTCAGAATATGAACCGTTATATATGACAGTTGTAGAAGCATGACCCAGAAATATTCAAAACATTTACTTCCCACCGAGTATGGGTCAGACCAAACCCAAGGCTACCGTTTGTGATTAGGTAGTTCATTGTAGTTGAAAATCGGTGGGTCAATTTGACCAACCGCATAAAAGTGTAAAGAGGAAATAAAGACATATATAAAGATGCAAGCTATCACCAGCTGAATGTTCAGGAGCTACAAATAGACGACTGAAAAGGAGAATTATCTAGGTTTATGTTTCTTTAAAAATACTGATCGACGCGACATAGCTATAATAAAATATATATTTGTATTCTTTTTAACTTCATCTAACAATGATGACTAAAAATAGGAGACGCTTCTCTTAACAGCACTAAATATTTAAAAGAGAACAAACAGTTCTGAAACTCATAAAAGGATTAGTCTATTTTAAATTTCACCAGACTCACACAAACCCATAACCTCGAAATTCCAATTTTGAAAAGTCACCCGACACAAAAATGTCTATTTTATATCGTAAAATAACCAATTTAAAATTTCGTACTCAAGCTTAGAGAGTGAATGATTCCATGATAGTGTACTGTATTTAGGCTCAGATTGACTTAGTTTTCTCGACTATATAAACACACACCTCCTTAGTTCTCCTATAAGTGTCCAATCAAAATATCTATTGTCCATGTATACGTTTAAGGTTAACCAACCGTTTTTCAGCCAACAATGGAAGTGCAACATCTAGCGTTTTCGAGTAGTTTCCACTTCGTTTAATTGATGGGTGCTGCTTGTGAGCATGATGATCACTGGGGATTTCATTTCAATCATCCAAATCTACATGATTTCTCTGAAAGTGACGCTAAAGCGTATTCCAACTTCCATAATAAGAGAGCAATTACGACGAAAGTCGAAGCTTAAAATGGAATCTTTAGTGAAAACTATGTCCTAAAATGCAGCGCTCATCTACCATACAAACGTAAAAATGTTGGCAATGCGCATATATTGGCACTGAAAACAGACCCATCACAAATGCACAGGCATATGCCTACTCTCAACAAATATGTTTCAAGTGTTTCTGAATTTCTTGCATCTATGTTCATTTGTATGTATGGGTGAATGTACGCCGTCACTGTCATTTCTGTGAGCCATGACTGGTACTTGCTTGTTCTGCAATATGCCGTCTATGCTTTTTTTGTAATTACTGATATTTCAGCTGGCTATAATATGTCTACTTATGATAGGTTTAAAAATCCATTTTCCTCTACAGATTCATTCATTCTTAGCTTTCTATAGTGGTGGAAATACAGTGAATTGACTTTGCTGTAAGTCTAAATTGTGGTCATCATAAGTACTTCATTCATTAATTTCAAATTTTTTGAGTATCCATAATTGAGTCTGGTGTTATTACTATGATTAACCTTAGTCCCGACACCAGACCTTGTTACATATAGATTGGGAAGTTGTCCTTGTTCATCTTCACTTTGGATAGCCTCAGTTCTTTAGCGTGATCAGAGATGTGGACAAAAACTTCAAAATTTTTTACCCTTTATGATTTCTTTAAAGCGTGTACTTTAACTAATTCAGATGCAATTATCAGCCAACTTTCATGGAGTGACGTTTGTATCAGATTAAGGAGAAGTCTCTATTCTTACAAATTTCACGGCCAAGTAAGCCAAATGAATAATTCGGAGAGATGTTCAAGTGCTTTTTGATAATGACCACAGATAAATTCCGGAAGTATTAGTGATGGTGCAGGATGAAGCCATATTCCATGTCTTCGGTGCTATACCACAAGAGCGCTGAAAAATGAGGGATAAGGGAAGGGTGAGCAGCAAAACAGATAATGTTAACGACCAGTGAATTGTGATCGCATAGTTGAGGCAGGACTTCTTAGATTCATTCCATTTTATTAGGCCGATTTCTAAACAAGTATATTTCATCAGGTTAAAGAAAACAGGCGAAAGTATGGCGTTGAATAAATAAAGAGTAGTACAAACGAAAGTAATTTAAAAAAGCTGAAAGTCTTTGATCGTGTACCTTCAATATTTAGCAAGAAAACAGTGTTCGAATACGAACTGGCTGTTTTTCCAAAATTATCATAACTCACTTTTATTGTTGTAACTTTTGTAAAGTGACGCATGGTCTCTTATTTTCCACAACTGTCCAGTTTTGCTTGAAATAGGGTTTCTCGGTGGGAAGTGGAACCGATTCAGGGTCTCAAACGAATCAACGAGGTATTTGATATAAGAAATTAACATCAATATCATTGGTTTACGACATCTCACTAGACCACAAGGAGCCATAATTTAACAGAATATCCTGCTCTACAGACATGGGTGAACTGACGTTATTTCCCCACTATCATATTTATAGGTCAGTGACACATTTAGCCATATATATATGGGAAGGAGTAGCCATTTTCTCCAAATTATGGTCCACGAACATATACATAAGTGGTTGATAAAACAAATATAGTCAAATGATCCGATAAGAGTAAATTATAAGCTCCCATCGCCTGATATTGCCAAAAGTACAAATGAAAAGGGTCATAAAGTTGAAATTAACATGGCTTTTGTGGTGTTGTGTAAACATTTCAATGGGGGTATACTGAGGTTTATTGAGGCCTTAGCCATACGAGAATTCGGACCCCTTTTGTGTTTCCGAAACCGATTTGTTCTCGCCTCAAACCTCCCATGATAATAATAGTTTATTATCCAGCGTGGTGATTTTGGCATCGATTTCCACATTATTTTCCGTATTATCTTTGTTTCCTCTTACTTTCCATGTCTAGCTGGCTTTTTCCTACGTATAAATGTTTTCAACAAGTGTATTGAGATAATCTATAACATAGCTCTGGCAATCTCCGTCTTCTTATTACACCATATGAATTTAAATGCGGTCTGCAAACCATTCCACTATTCACTTTTGTTTATATGTACACACAGAACTGAGTCCCGTGACATTACTTGGAGAGATGTTATGCTTCGCATTTGTCACCGTTATGATTTCCGTTTAGTATTTTGCTCTGAAAATCAAAAAATAGGTATGAACGGCCAGCAGTTTATATACACGAGGTTGCTGCCACCTTTACAGTATTCAGAACATTTTGATTTGGAAAGATGCTGTTTTTGAACATGAAACTCGACAAATTGTAAATATTTGCACTGTGACACAAAGAATGTTGGCGGACAAAAAAGTTCAGAGTGCATTGTCCTTTTGGAGTGCTTTCTAACTTTATGTCGTACAAGTCTGGCACAACCGGCATTAAATAAGCTTAGATAATTTGTACCCAGGTTTTGATAGTAGCTTTGCCGCAATTTTTTCAGCGTATCCTCAAAAAATGCCTCCCTGCACAATTATTCAAATCACTGGATCACCTCGTGATAGTACGCTGCAGAATATCAAGAGAACTGATAAGTCAAGTTTTATGGAGAATGTCTTACGTCAGGCTGATTTCTAAGTCAATTAGTTATAACTTTGAGTTAATGTAAACTTATGTCATCTCTTGAAAACTTCCGACATATCACCAAATCTCACACTGAATCAACGAAATAACTCAAAATAACACGATTGATGTTTGGTGCCATTGTCGGATAAAATTCAATAACTTTATTCATGATTTTCAAATCATGGTTTACAAGGATTTTCATAAATTTCTATCAAGAAGTCTGATGAGAGAACAACTAAATTCAGGGTTTTCGTGAGGTCCTTCGAAGTTCATCTATAACTTTTTAAATACGAAGCTTAATAATAAAGAAACAGAAATCTTATGACTAAGAGGACTGATACAGACACTCAATTTGAAAATCAGACTGACCAGTTAAGATATTAGCATCCAATGAATGAGGAAAAGAAGGGGTTTAAAAGTAAATTGTTGCTTTTTCAAAGCGACAAAGAGGACTATGTGTATAGTATTCAACTCTCTTGTTCGCTAGGGATTCAACTATTACCATTGATCCAAATGTTACGGGAGAATTGAAAACGTTTGACTGACTAAAGACTGTTGTATTGATTTCAGCATGTTTTGGATGTATTTGTTTTGCTGAACTTTTGAACTCGTTTGGTCATATCTCTGACTCCGGAAGTTTTGGTTTCAATTCATCTTTGGTATGGCATTTTGAAGTTTTTGCACTGGGAACCTAAAAAATCAAAGGTTCGGTTTTTAATTGTTATGAACATTAATATAACGGTATTTGGGCCGACTACTTGTAATTTACAAATAAACTTCGGTTACTAGATTAATGTTTGGTTCTATTATTATTTAGTACCGTAGGTTACAAGCAAGTTGATCTACTGTGCTTCAATAACGGAAGAGAGTGAAACCTTGGACGTAACAACAACAACCTACAATTAATTTTCGTTAAGACACTAAAGTCTTGCACCGATTATCATATACTTTGTGCGACACGAACGAGTATAAGGCGAAATATATTCATGCTAAACGTTTCTGCGATTTAAAGCACTCAGAAAATTGATTTTCTTTGCGTGTTCTAAGCCTCCTCCCTTCATTGTTTAAACATCTCTATGATTTATCTAATGCTATGGCTATTTATAACTTGTAATAATAATAATAATATGGTGGCTGGCCTCTGTTTTGAACCATATAAGCGTCGTGCTTTAAGTTCACTAACTTCTGACATTCACTAGTCACTTCTTGTAGTATTATATTTGGACATTATTCAATTTCACTCAAAATTCTAGATCTGATATTTGCATATTCAGGTGACTGCGAGCTGCGTACAAAAGCAAGACACTTGAGCTAGTCTTCTGTCACTGCCTATAATTTAAAACGCTCACCCACACATCATCTGGAGGTTTTGCTAACTTAAGACATTGGTAACGAATACTGAACAAAGATGACTATTCACCAAAGATTTGCTACAAAATTACGTTTGTTGCACCAAAAACAAACGTCTCTGGGACTCTTGGAGAAAAACAAGTTGGTCTAGCGTTTATCTCCAGCTGCGTCAAGTTTGCGTAGCAGTAGTCAGAACTTTGAGGCATCATCAGACTTGAATACATCTCATTTCTTGAACTACTATTCAAATGTAACAACAACCAAACTATAAAAATGTAATTCACCGATAGAATTAATGATGTGGTCAACATGGGATTCGAACGGACCATCTGTAAGCCCATTTTGGTTCAGGTTCATTTTCTGGGTTAGAGCTTCTAGGATACAAATCTGAAACTGCCCGTAACGTTTTTCTTGACGCTCCAGCAAAGCTCAAACTTGGTCAAAAGTAAATGACATCTTGATAAGTTGACTCCGTCGCCACTTGATACATCTTGTAACGACCAAACTACCAGTATTCGGTTTGAACGCAGGACTGATGAACCAAAATTATTTCGAATAGGCCAGACTACGTTCTTTTGTTTAGCTTACGAAGTGTTTTTGAGATACTCGTATTAAATTATATCAAAACGCAAACTCTGTGTCCAATATAAACGTTCGAATTTAGGAAATAGAACAAATTGTATCAAAAATACAAAATACTTCAAACGGTACAGCCTGTGCTATATAGTCAGAAGTTTCTCTAACGCAAAGTAGCGCGCCAAACAATAAAAAACAGTTAGTACCAAAGGGTTTGATATCTGAGAATCAGTAAAAATATTATCAACAAGATGGGATCAAATATCTATCCGCAGTGTTTCCAGCAATCCTCCCAAGCAAACAATCAAAAGGTTAACAGCCACACATTGAACAATGCCGTGACTTCAAGCTTTGTCAAGCACGACCCTAGTGTCAATAGTCCGGCAACATGCAATAAAAAATTAGGTAACAAAGGATAAGTCTTTGATCAAGATCGCATAATAAAAGCTCAGACGAGGAAGTCTGAAAAAAAATGATGGGGTTAAACGAGATGTGAACAAAGGTTAAAATACACGATAGGTAGAAGAAACAAATAAGTGACAGTACTGTCCAGCTCAATCTCTACCACCTGGGTTACCGTTCACGTTAGTCGATGGGACTGAGTCCCACTAGACAGGTGGCACGATGGCCAGCTCCTGATAGCCACTTGCTTGTGCAATGGGGTGAATTTGAATTCACTTGGTATTGTTTGGCTTGTATCTTCCCATTGAGGTTTAACACTGCATTTGATCAGTCTGTTATTGGCATATGTGCATACTGTGCGTGAGCCTCGATATTGGCTGAATTCACAAGCTTCTAAGTAACTAAAATATTCAGGAGGCAAAACGCGACGCACACGTACTCATCGTGCCACCTGTCTAGTGGGACTCAGTCCCATCGACTAACGTGAACGGTAACCCAGGTGGTAGAGATTGAGCTGGACAGTACTGTCACTTATTTGTTTCTTCTACCTATCGTGTATTTTAACCTTTGTTCACATCTCGTTTAACCCCATCATTTTTTTTCAGACTTCCTCGTCTGAGCTTTTATTACGTATTTCAACGTTGTCTTTCCGTTACACATCTAGTGTTTAAATCCTTAACATAAAGCATTCTAGGGATGCACTGACATACCTTTTCTGTAAACCGGCCATCAAAAGCTAATAGAAAAAATTCATTTTGACTACTAAAGCGAATCAACAACAGCATAACGTTAGAAAGAACAAACTAAATTCCGACTGAATAGGAAATTAAAAAAAGACGCTGGAGTTGGATAGGATATCCGTTGCGGAAATCAACAAACTGCATCACGAGGTAAGCTGGAACTTGGAATCCTGGGATGAGACGGAAAAGAGGAAGGCCAAAGATCATACTACGTCGAGAAGTGGAAGCAGACATGGAAAGCAACTAGGAAGAACTGACATGGATTGCTGAGGACAGAGTTCTTTGGAGGGTGTTGGTGACCGCCCTATTCTTCTTTACAAGGGTTGACAGGCAAGAGCAAGTATTTGATGAGAAAGTATGTGGATGTAGGTATGCATAGAAAGAATAAAATTCACCTAAACACAAATGGTTATGGTAATAATTTATTCTCAAATAACAGTTTGTTACATGAGGCATGCCAGTTTACAGGGAAGAACAAATTGTTACAAATGATACAATTTTCACTGTAGTAAATTACTCATCTGTGTTGATATTTTATAGGATATGAATGTAGATGGTTTTAGTAAGGATTGTATCGTCAGTATAGCAGTTGACGCATTTTATGAAGGTTTAGTTGCGACGTGCAACTGATGTGGTCGAGAAGAGATCCATATTAAGTTGTGGACGTCTAGAAACCACGACCTCAAATCCCTCTGAAATATCTGAGGCCTTAATGATGGTGCAGGACGAAGTCACCCATCCCATATCTGTTTTCGGTGGCACATCTCAAAAGGGCTGAAAAATGGTGTAAAAAAAGAAAGGAAAAGAAGCAGAGCAGACAATGTCCATGATGGACTAGTTAAGGTATAACTGCTCAGTCTAATTCTCTTTTATTAAGGATTCATTAACCAAGAGCATCCTGATAGGTTAAAGAAAATACATGGAAGAAAGGTATGAGTGAATAAACAACTGACAGATGGGGGTGGTCCAGTGAAAAGATGAAAGTATGAGATTATGTATAGTCATAAAATAAAGTGCTGAAAACAGTATTCTGATACACAAATGAATGTCCCCCTATTTTTGTCGAATCTACTTGAGCCCGTTTTTTTGTAGATTTTATTGGGTATTGAGAAGGCTTCGCTTTAAGCGATTCGTCTATATAGTCTGAAATGTACACAATAGAAAAGGTATAATCAAGTGATCAAGAGATAGAGGTTTTTCTCTATGAGAAAACGATATTTTGTATCCCAAGACGTTGGTGTAAATAAACGATAAGTTATCAGTTAGAAAAGCTTGTAAGAAATGTTGTACTCACTACTTTTCAATCACATCTCTGTCCACGATGTATATGTTGACTCAACGTTTTCAGTCGAATAACCTGAAGTTTCACACAAGTTGTAGGGAAAATGTGAGATCAACTACATATCCTGAGTTTCCAAGGTCTCATAGCACAAGTTTTAAGGAGTAATCTGTCAGCTATTATTATTATTATTCACAAACATCTTATGGATACATAAGTGTTGTGAAGAAACCATTTCGGGTTTCTTCAAAAAATGCAATAATACACAATTTTCAATAATGTCAGCATTATACTTGCCATATTTAAAAAGAAAAAAATTTAGAGCAATAATAGTAGAATATTAATAATAATAAATCGGGTCTGTGCAATTGAGAATATTGAATTGAGTTTAAAGAAGGAAATGGAGAAAATAAGGAGATGTGAAATACGCAAACAGTCTAATGGGCGTGTTTATGAACACAAAGCAAGAATAAACGACTATGTGTGTATCGTTAAATTAGTAACAAAAGTAATTAAGAAAAAATAACTTATAATTGCAGTAAGATATGACGCTAGAATAGATGTTTGTGCAGTTATAGTTTGGAGTGATGCGATGAAAGTCTCAACTGAGTGAAAAGGATAACAAAATATCAATATGTATGAGACATATATGCATAGTGAATATAAAACAGGTCTGAGAAGTTAATGTAAATATAACACAAGTTATTGTCTTAATTACAAACTTCGTAATCTTAAGAATAATATTTATTTAGAGGGAAAGAAGAGAGAAAAGAAGTGAACACTTAGTGAAAAGTTTTGATCCATGATAAGAATAATAATTGTGTAATGAATATCAACCTCAGAAGGAAACCAGCAATTGAAAAAATAAAATAAAAATCCGTTAAGGCACTCGGATGAATACATTTAGATTTATGTGATAGTATACAGAGTGAAACCGGATATTAGTATAAATATTTGTGCAATAATAATTAAGAATGATGCTATGAAAGTCAAAATTGATTTTAAAGGACAATCTGGAGTTGAATATGTTTAGAAGGATAAGAAGATACAAAAAGAATATATAATGTGTCGGGGAACTAATAATGATATTAATAACGGTAATAATGATAAACACGAACATAAGCAGATTTCATATATTAAGATAAGTAGAAATAAAATAAAATAAAAGTGAAAAGATCTAAAGGTTTTATTTTGCTTTTCAGGCAATTAAATGGATGACGGACCTAGTTTGTATAAATCATTATTGAATACATTGATATTCAATAGGTGACATAATCCACTTTCGGAAAGAAAATCATCAAGGAGACTTTTGAACCGGGTTGTAGTTTTACTGCAACGGAGGTTCACTGGCAGTCTGTTCCACATCGTTGAGTAGCGAATAAGGAAAAAATTCTGACGTAAGTTTGTGTGGGTTCTTGGAATCGCTAGAATATTCTCCTTATTGCGTAGATTGTATGATGATATCATAAGGTATGAAGGAGTGGATACGGAGGAGTAGGAAATACTGTTAATAGGCCAGTAGATAAAGGCAAGATTTAATTTGATACGTCTGATCCAAAGAGGTTCTAAGTTGAGTAGTTGACATCTTTGGTAATAGTCTTTGTTATCGGAATACCCCAGAACAGCTTTGGTGAACTTTCTTTGAACACCTTCAATTCTAATCAGGTCATTATGTCTACAATTACTGTAAACTAAAATACCATATTCAAGAATGGGTAAGATACATTTTCTGTATAGTAACAATCTCGATTCGATATTATTGAAGTTTATTATTATCAATCCGATGAGCTTTCTAGCTTTGCATACTTGAGGTATAATGTGTTCAGAAAAGTTCAGACTGTTGCTATATCTTAAACCCAGGTCACGAACAGTGTTGAGAGGTTTGAGTGTATGTGTGTGTACAGTCAGATTTAAGTTAAGACAGCGACCAATGTGAATAAATCCACTTTTGTCAATATTAAGTGGCATATTCCACGAAATAGTCCATTCGTACAACTTGTTTATTTCCTCTTGGATTACCGCTGAAATATAGCTTTCTTTCGTGGGAGAAGAGAATGAATAAACTACTTTCAGGTCATCAGCAAAAAGGAAAGGCTTACCATACTGAAAGCGGGAACACACATCATTGACAAAAAGGAGAAAGAGTAATGGACCAACCACACTTCCTTGTATAACCCCACTGGTTACATTCACAGGTTTAGAGTAGCAAGATCCAAAGCGAACGATTTGGCTACGTTCTTCTAAAAAAGATTTGAGCCAAGATAAAAGGGGATTCTGTATGCCGAATGAAGAGAGTTTTAAAAGAAGAAGTTTGTGTGAGACACTGTCGAAAGCCTTACTAAAATCGAAGTAAAGAATTACCACTGACTGACCAACATCTCTTCTCTGGGTAATTTGATCAAAAAACTCCAGGTGCTATGTGAAACATGAGCGTTTAGTCATAAACCCGTGTTGGGATGTGCTGATCAGACTAGCCGAAAGTAAAAATGATAGTAGCTGTTTGGGGATGATTTTTTCCATGGTTCTTGAGAGCACGGATGTCAAATTAATTGGCCTATAGTTAATAATATCACTACGTGGTCCTGTTTTGAATCTAGGGGTGATAAGGGATGTTTTCCATACAGATGGAGAGGTCCCATATTCCATAGATAGATTGAAAAGTTTCAAACAAAATAGTGGAAATTCTCTACTTCCATATTTCACAAATGATGAAGGTATCCCGTCAGGTCCACCATCATAAGACTTTTTCAGGGTAGCTATGGCCTGCTTGATGTTGGAGTGTGTAAAATCAATTTCTGACAGATGTCTGGATGTCAGCATTGGAAATGTAATGATGGAGTTTTCAGTCCCAGTTTTGTAGCACTGCGAGAAGTGCTTGCTGAATTGTTCGCATATAGCATTCGGGTCGTTAACAATGCTTCCGTTAACTATGAAGAATTTACTCGTGCCCAGGGAATTTGACTTCACACGGGATTTAAAAAGTCGAAGTATTGATAATTCTGGGCTTTTACTACGTAGAGCTTTATTTTCTATATTCATGAAATACTTACGTTTAGATGAAGCATTTCTGTCGATTAATTTAAGTATACTCTGAAGTGCATGCACATCATTCTGCTCATAGTAGCGGTATTTTAATTTCATCAGCTTTCTTTTAAAAGTATTTTGGCCCCTATTAGCATTATAAGCCACACGGCTAATAACTGGAGCAGTGCAGTCAAGGCAATATATCAGGTTGTGATATAGATTGGAAAGCGCAATGTCAACATTATTTGTGGTAAAATAAGTTTCCCATGGTAAACATCGAATGAGAGTTTCAGTCCGTTTCCATGTTTGTTGATCCAAATATCTGCTCTGGTACGTCATTGAAGCTTTAGAGTTCAATTGTATGGCGTTTAAAGAGTGAATAATGCTCACTACAATTCTATGGTCACTCATAAAAAACTCATGACTGGTATGCACTGAGATAGAGTCTATGTTGATTGTGAACATTAAATCAAGTGTATTATTCCCCCTGGTTGGTTTTCGGACCTGTTGAACCCATCCACAAATTTCTAATGTTCCAACTAGCTTGTTATATCGACCTGGTACCGGAGTCAAGCTCCATGTAATTTTTGGCAGATTAAAATCACCTCCGATGATTTTAAAAGTATGCGGTTGGTGCGAAGCAATGGAAAATATGTTTGTTAGTAATCTGTCAAACTTAGTATCCGCATGAGGTGGTCTATATATGCATCCCACCAGTAAATAATTTTGGGATCCACAGTTTACAGTAACCCAAGTGGAGTCGTCTATAGCATCAAGAGATTTATCCTCAAATTTGCACGCTTGAATGTCTGAACGGACATAGATAATTGTGCCGCCTCCTATTCCATGACATCTATCGGTTCTAACGAAAACGTAGTTATCTACATTCAAGGAATGATCAGATATAGATGAATTACATCACGTTTCCGTAATAAGTACAATGGCTGGATTTACAAGGAATAAAAGAGTTTTAAGATGAATAATTTTATTAGACAGAGAGCGGGCACTGAACGAAAGAATAAAAAACTCAGAGTCATCGTAGTGAAGCAGGTTAGAGTATAAATCGCAATTGGCAGTTCCATGAATACTCATAGGATTAGCTAAGGTAAGAGGCGTGTTGCGAGGGGAAATAGATTCAACCACTTTGTCATCATGTGAAATATGTTTACCGTTGCCGGCAGGAAAGCCGGCGGAATTACAAAAAAATTTTTCTCATTGCTATTGGATATAACATCTGATAAGGGCATACTGTACATATTGGGAGCCGGACCAAGAAAGCTACCAGGTCTATGTGTGCGACCAAGTAGCCATTTACAGTCCAGATTACTATTTATACCTGACGTATAGGTAACATGTTCCAGACGTTTATTTCCAAGGTTTGTGGTTGATTTCGGCTTCTTCATAAGTTGGAGAGGATTGTGTACTGTTAAACATACTTGCGATGGTTTGCGAGGTTCGAATATATCAACGTTAAGTGCGTGGTCAGTTATATGAATGTTATGATTAGTTTTCCTGTTATCCGTTGCACAGTTACTGTAACTGGGTGTTGCACTAACAGCGGTTTGGATTGTGTTATCCCATTCTTCATCAGCACAACTACTTTGGGTTGAATCTAAGTCAACATTTTTAAGAGGATGGACACCACCTACATCGGGATTACTTTCTTCTGGGTTTTGAACTTTATGAGATTCAGAATAGTTTTTCGGTGGCGGCAAAGTTGTTAAGCCAGACGTCCTCTTCGAATCGGACTTAACTTTACAACCATTAGGATTATGATGCGTTTGAGAGTTTGACGCTGATGGTCTGTAGTTATTTCTTCCTGCTTTTCGCTGGCATGGTGTTTCATCCGGAAGAGTCTTAATATCCTTGAAAATCTGTTTTTGTCTCAATGAATTGGAGGAACTTAAAAATTCACTGGCGTCTACAGATGAGTTGAATTTGAACAAGATCGGTGAGTGCATACCAGGATGACTTCTTTTTAATCTTGTGCATACACATGGTACGTGTGTCATGTTGCTGGCTCTAAACAGACTAGATTTGATATTTTTAAGGGCATGTGTATCCGGTATATTAAACACAATTGCATTGCTAGATCGTCTTATTCTTTCAAATACCTCTGAAGCAACACGATCTAGGAAAATATTTATGTCATTCATTTGATCTGGAGTCTTTGTGAGATTGGGGTTGATGAGATATTTAAGCGGATTGAGAATGTTCATGTCTACTTGCAACTTTTTTATAGCATCCATATGGTTGCAGTTGCGATTATCATCGCTGTTTACCATCAGAGTTTTCAACATGTCTGGAATGGAGACAACTGGTAAAAGCTTGTCTCTTCCGGATGAACGGAGTGGCTCGTCTCGTTGAAACTGTTGGAAATCGTGTCAGTAATGGTGTTAAATTGTGTCGTTTTCCTACGTTTGGCTGAACGCCTAGGAGCAGGGGTCTTCATTTTCTTTTGTGGCATGATAAGAAAGTGACGTATAGCAAGTGGATTGAACAGAATGTTGGAAATACGGGTGAAAAAATCAATTCCGAGGGCTCAAGTTAGTCTAAAAATCAAAATCTATGTTTTAACTAAGAGTGAATGTATCGTGAGGATTAGCGGTGTTAAAAACAAAAGATGACAATGGCAGGAAGATAGTGGCTGAGATGAAGTATTTATGTCAGTAACTGTGTGGAGGCAAAATAGAATATAAAGGAGCAAGTTGTATAAATGTTAACATATATATGACATGAAAGATAGCCTTATATAGCAAAGTAATTTAGAAATGTCGTTAATTAGTATCAAACAATCAAAAAAGTACGGTACGTGATACATATATAAACCGAAAGTCCGTATTAGTAAAAATCGGGAGGTGCAGAGACAAGTAGTTTAGAAGATTATTACCGTCTAAGATAATTGTGTTGCTTCTTGAACAAATATATGTAACAGCTTTTTGGAAAAAAACACTGCCAAAAAAACTATGACAGACTCACCGAATTGGACAGGTAATTTCGGAAATGAAATAATTTATAGTATCCAAATACGATTTAAATGATAGTTCATAAAATAATGAATACAGTCCTTTAACATACACGGTTATATATATTTCTTGATATTAGGTAGAGGTTTGAATAGATCCTGTAGATACATAAAGTACGTGGGTTAAGGCATTCAAATACGATATAACCATATATTCCTTAAGAAATAGAATACAGATATAGAATCCAGATCTTCGTCGAATATGATTATATATGGTTTCAAAGTGACAAAGTATAGTTTGATCGTATAGCTATGTGGGATAGAATTCGTAATTTTGAAGGATTTTAAAACATTTCACTTGACACTCACTTCCAAACAATCCAGTAAACATTAACAAACAATGGTGTTTATGTTTCTCCTAATGTGATTATGCATGATTAAAATGAGATGACGGAGAACATGTACAACTCGAGAGGATAATTTCAGAAATTTGTCCTCAGGGATTTGTACTTTATTATAGAGCATTTATAGACGTAAGCAAAATCACCTCTCAGAGTACACTTGAAATGTTCTGCCTGCTCAAAGAATATATACAGTATTCAAACAAAATCCCTAATGCATTCTATCAATAATATTGTCTCCGCGAAGTCAGACTAAAAGAAAACAGGCGTTCAAAGTTTCCTTCACAGTAGAACAGTAAAGCATGTGATTACTTCCCTGAACATAACAAATTCCAACACCGAAAACATATTATCAAAAATCACATAACCTATTCATCACTTTTGTAATTACGATTGTAATCAATAAAAACAGTTCTTCGAAAGTGTAATTCGAGCGTTATAAAGTCTACTAGCCACATGATTACAGTGACAGGTCGATATTGCTAATAACTCAAAACTCAGAATCCTTTTCATGTAACTTTGTATTCTTGATTCCAATTATCATACTTTTATTTTACAGAACCAAAAAAACCAAGTAAATGGGACACAGGTATTCCTACCAACGTTCAACTCCATGATACATCCTCAGAATCTGTTAAGTTATCTGTTCCTCCCGTTGGAAGTTTGATCAAACGAAATTAAAACTAATCCAAGTTACCAGATAATGACTTTGAAATACGCTGCTCTTTTTATAATTTTTCGAAAATATTTTTCAAGATGTTAATACAACAATAAAAGTGAAATACTCAACCGTGTTAATTTGTGTAAAAGAGATCATTTGCTCCAATCAACTAACTGTTAAGAGATAAACGTTTACGCAAAGATATAATGATTAGGATTAACTTGAGGTTCCTGATAACTGTCTTCCTGCGTTTTGTGATGTGAGGCTGATGCAGGTAAAGATGACGGTAGATTATGCTTTAGATCAGGTCTAACTTGTGTACCAGGAATGTTCTGATTATACAGTGCGTTGTTCGCGGGTGACCAATTCATGATAAACGAGTTTGTTGCTCGCGTCCAGTCATCTTTATAAACCTAAAATTGCAGAAAACTTCCTTGTTTTAATACTAAATAACTGAGATGCATTTTCTTAAATTACATATATTGTTCCATTTTCTAAATAACTGCCTGTTGTTATTAATCCATAACTTTGATTAACTGGTTAGTCTTATTTTCTGCTGAACATACTTTTACGAGTTATTCAATGTCATACGGTTAATGAAATATAGCTACATAGACGGATACATGGTCTGAATTTGTTTATTGAAGAGCTAGATGATAATTTCATAATTGAGACTTTTCCAAATAACTCGTTTACTTATGAGGATCATAAACACCGACTAACACTACCTAACATGGAAAGCTTTAGGAACATACATCAGTGTATATGAGGGACGTTCCAGACAATATTAAGGTATGACTACAAAGACTGTTAGCCCGTGTGAAGCTTAGTAACTCATCTCAACTTGATTTATTAGGATTCGCCTCCAAATGCCCTAGTACAGCCGAGAGTGGAGAAAGTCAGCTCTCTATCTCGAAATGCTCTCACATGGCCACGTGCACACGACAACTACTAGGGAAGTTCTACTCACTGCATTCTCGCAGAATTACTGTTGCTTATGAAATTGAGAGGACGAAAAGCGAATGTCAGATGCTTTAACTGGGTTGGTGAATACGGAGAGTCCACCTAGAGGAGTTGGAAAACCCTGATTCCAATGGTGCACATGGGTTCCAGTATCCTGATGGAACAAAAGGTGTATGAACCTATTGTTGGTGACCGGCTACCATAAAAATGCATCTCCCTACGTTGCTCTACTGCCTTGTGGATTAAACCTTCAGGTCAAATGCTCGGGGAGTGCCCCCCACACGAATTGAATGATTTGTGTTGCGCACATATATTTGGTGCCCTCTTGTACCAATGTTTATGCGTTTAAATAAATAGAATAAATATTAGGATTCGCATTGTACATGTTATGTGACTATGGTAGATAATATTCTAGCTACCCAGATGGATTTGAGTGAATTCAAGTTGAAACCTAATTTTTACTGACACAGATGAAAGCATTTTATATTTAATCAGAAAAAACCACACACCTGTATTGTTAAATATTTCACCAAGCTGGAAAGACGGTTGGTTACGTGTGCTAGAACCAACTGCTCATTAGCATCCCGGCGAACACGAACATACAAACTTCCTGCAAGGTCCTTGTATCCAATCGACCATATGTGCTCATTTTGCAGCTCAAGAACATCATCAACTGTAGAGGCTTCTCGAAGCGCTTTATCTAAGGGGCTAACCAAGTGAGCGGGTGTTGTTTGAAGTAGTATCCGGCCACTATAACAAAATCATAAATTAGTGTTTAACAACAACGTATCTAAGCGATTTGATCCAGAGTAATTAACAAACGAGTCTTATGGTAGATAATCAGTCAAATGCAACGTAGAACCTGGCACAAGTGTACGTCGAATCAAGCTGCCATACCACACTAACACAGGGTGACGAAATTGTCAAGGCGAATCCCAGAGTAGTAGAGGTAGTAACAGCATCAATGGCAATAGGAAAGGTTGAGCATCCAAGACACAATTCGAGAAGTACAAATTAGTGAAATGATAGAAAGAAATTTATGAGGAATTTAGAAACTTAGTATTTAAAGGAAGACAGAGTGAATGAACCTGCGTTTATGCGAACGTTTCTAAGCCATGTCATTCAGTCTCTGAGAGCGTGATTCACCCTCGATGTATTTGGAGTAGAGAGCCTGTACAAGGTTAATGTGCGTCCTTGGTATGCCTTTTAATGGCGGATACTTAAAAAAAAACCTGTTGATCTGCAGGACGAAATGCTGCCTTATAATAGAAAAATACGATTATTTAGGCAGTGTTCTAGAAATTATATTATTTAAACTGGTTCCTCTGTGGTTGTCACAAAAGGGCTTTTGTCATATCTAATAAAGTGGGACGATCACAAAGAAGGATGGTTATATCGGCATGACATTCAGGTTGCTTCGGTGGGAGTAGGCAATCGAAGGATAGCTGGAAAGCAACTGAACTGCTTTCACACTATTCGATCCATCGTCCCAGTATCCTGGATTGATAGTTTATAATAGCACCCTCTTCTTCAGAATCAGTCTTGATAATTCTGAAATATTTAGTGCCTACTCTTCTGATTAGTCCGAAAACCTGTTTAGTGTTGCCTATTGTATTGACCTTTGCGGTCGCCTTTGTCTAACCCCCAACCGCTACCGACGATCATTACGTAGACATTTTTCAGTCTACGCTCATTCTTTACCTCATTCGGAAGCGTAGGTCATGTGTTGGGGAAGCGATGTATTGTGTTTCTATCGTTTGGTGTTCTTACTTCCTTAGTCAGAAAAATTCAAATCTCCTGAAAGCGATTTTTATTCTTTGTCCCTTACACCACGGAATGGCACCTCACCTTCAATGTTCTGATAAGCTGATCTTGTTTAGTGAGGTCTTAAGCCTCTGGTGGCCTAAATCCATCCGTATGGATAAATATTTGGGACCGGTCACACACGGATCTATAGCAGATAGTTCGCAGTGGGCTATGTCCTTAATTTTTAAAGCCTTACTGCGAAGTTTGGATTCTGTGATGCCAGGCAGAGTGGGCCTTTCTGGGACTGAGTCACCATGATTGTCAACCTCAGTCAAACTGCATCACGATAGCAGACAAGATCAAAGTACATAGCTGCTAGGTACATAAGGTTATCAAATAAAAGATTCACCCCTATCGCAACTATTTACCACCAAGATTACACAGAACCATGCCTTTTGAATGACGAACTGAAAAGATATTATCAAGTGGAATCCTAAAAAACCAGCAGTTACGGTGCATGCAGGCAGCTTAAACGAGCTAGGAGCCAATGCTTGTAGGTTATGAGAAAAGACACGAACTATTATCAAACTGAGTTGGTCGGCAGATCTGTCTCTCATCTTGAAAGTTCGTTCCTTTATCCGGCTTCCTTTCGTCAAGCCAAAGTTAAAAATTTCAAATACCTAGTTTCTAATACCACAGCCAACAACAATAATGATGTCACTGTGCTCTCGGTTTGACAATACTTCCGTAAATTCTAACCTTAATCTAAAACCGTATCGACGAGGGCTTTAATTAAAACTTAAGTTAAATCTCGGAAGTGGATATAAGTACCAACTTCGATCACTGTTAACTATAGCGCTCAAATAAGTAGACATCCCCTCACCCGGCAATGATTCACTCTGTTTTACTGAAAGAAGCCGTCTAGATTCGGAAAAGGCCCTGTAGTCCAGTGTTTTCACATTCAGTTGGCCTAGGCGTGGTCTAACATAATTATACGCTGACACATGTCATTCCAACTGTTAGAAGAATCCAAACCAATGATCATTCGAACTGCCATCTGGAAACTCTCCTTCATTGACTACAAAGGTATTGGTATCTGTGTATTGCAATTGCCTTTAAAATTATGATTTAGTTCAGTAATAGTACATTTATCCTCGCTTATATAATAAAAATTGTAGATTTTTCGTGCCTTAAAGTAACCCTCGTGCTATTGATAGAAGAAACCAGAGAAGTAGTGAATAGGTCTTTATTTCGATCTCAGCGCGGTAACAGTGGAGCGTGGGATTATCTGTTCAGACAAACAAAGGCTCTCAACATTCAATATAAGATAATAGGGAATATAACGCTTATACAAAACAAGGAAGTGAATGAATACTTGAACAATACTGTTTTGGCATATGCTTGGTTGTTTGGGGTTAACTCTTAACCAACCAACCTAAGCTGTTACATTAGCTTCCCCCTAGAATCGACTTCCGTAGGAACGTCGGTTCGATTAACCTAACTATCGAAAACACCTTAGTTCTATTTCTCATCCCAAGGGAAAATTATCAACTCGCTCACTGTTTGACTTACAATCAGTGACGACTGACGCTGTCAACGATAGTCCATGGATGTCTCTTCTTTACTAGCTTGTCATCTTATTTTGTAGCATGTGATTTCTTCTACAACTATCGCCGACGGTTTGCTGCGTGCTTTCAAGAGAAAGTGTGAGAATGTGGAATAAGAATATCTGAGGAAGTGCCGCGAGCGGGCTACCCAACACCATGTTGGTGAGGTACGATTTTTCCGTGCTCAGACGGCTATCAGGTGTTTACTCACCTGCCTCTTGAGTCGCCCTCAAGTAAAAAGTAAAGAAGAATCTACTTCAAAGGTAATGGTGAAAATCAAGCAAACCTGAAGAACTGCTCCACTGCCTGCATAAAAATAATAAGATACAAAATGGAAATACATAAATGTAATTGATAATTGTTCGGTTCCATGTAAGTACTTGGTCTCCAGAACGGATTGGCATTCTGGAAGAGAATAGACATAGTGTAGATATCTTGTGCACGAAAAACCATGAAAACAAAAAAATACTCTTTTGTAATGCATATATGTAAAAGGGTGAACTTGCTAGAAGTTGGACTCTTTAACAAAATCGATCAAACGCGTGACCTTGAGTCTGTGATGACCGCGTTTCACAGCTAGGTGCGTAACCAAGGGTGCATCAGAATACTCCACAAAACGGAAAAGAATATACGAATAAGAAGCGAAAAAATTGTGTAGAGTATGAGGATCAAGTACAGTTGTGCCAAATACCCTTTTCTTGTTTGATTTAGGTATGCATGATATATTGAAGCAATAAATCGTCAATTCACCCAAGTAACGAATTGGTTTGCACCTCAGAAGTGTCTAAGTCCTATTACTCATTAGTATTATGAGTGATCAATTGGTGTAAGGAAATATTGAAGTCACTTCCTCCGTGGTCTGATGTGGCTTAACGGCTAAGCACGCGGTCTAGCATTCAGGAGGGCAGAGGTTCGAGTGCGTGTGGGGCCTGCGGTTTTGTTCACCAGACCCACCTTCAATACGATGTTTGTTGCCCGTAAGTCGCGCACATATGAGAGAAAAAATGACAAGAGGACAGATTGATATATCAAAGTGCCATATTGGAAAAGTATAAGTTCTTTGTTTACATGAATATTATTACTATAGAAAAAAAAACTACAAGTTTAGTAAATTTTCGTTTTACGTTATATTTAAACCAACGAATATATATATATATATATATTAGTTATTGACATAAAATGTCTTTTTTATAACGCTAATATTAAGTTCCAGGACTTTGTATGGGCCACTAATAATAATTGGTTTAACGTTAGCATAGTCGTGATATTCACATTGTCAGTTCAATGTTATGATTACTAAACAGTTCCCTTATAAGTTGTGTTTAAAATTAGGTATGTGGAATCAATGCGGCTAACATAGTAACCTTACAGTAACGCACTGTACCATATCTTCACGGTTATTGATTCTTAAATGTCAGAAATTAAAAAAAATCAAGCTACTAAACATATCCTCAACCGAAAACTTTTAGAAGTAGTTCATATGGTATATATGTATAGCCAGTCTACGTGAAAAATGTATATAAATATATAAGAAGTACAGCCAACATAGTTAATTAACCAGAAAAAGAAATTATAAAACTCGCCTGGGTTGCTTTTTGATTCGTTGTATTTGCCAGTGTTAGTTGTATGAGTTTGATTAAAATCCGCAGCCATCGTTTCGGAATACCTAGCTTATGTGTCCAGTATTTAAAAAAATATATTTAACATAACACGTATATATCAAAGGTAAAAGGTCTGGGGAGTTGTCGGTGAGGCGGAATGATGAAAAAAATATTTTTAAGTAGATGCAGTGTGTGATTAGCTGCGTGGTTAGATTTTATCCTGCAGCCGAAACTGTCAACATCCTTGATTGGCTAATCGGATGTGCCCAGCGAACCGTTTTAGTCATTTGTAAAGATTTATTATCTTTACATTTCGATTCCGTAATGGATTTGTCAGTTAAACGATCTAACAACACGTATGGTGGTTCATGATCTAGATAAGCCGGCTTTAGCCTATCAATACTTACTGTGTCGATGTTTCCATGTTTTTCTATAACGATATATTTAGATTTTCTTGAGACGACTTTGGAAGGACCTTCAAATGGAGGGCTAAGTGGTACTTTTATTTTGTCACATCTTATCCAGACGTGCGTGCAATTGCTTAGGTCTTTAGGTACATATACGGCACGCGATTGTTCGCGAGTATTAATTGGTTTAAGTTTGGACATATGGTCCCGTAGTTGATCTACGTAGTTTCCTAAATTAAGTTTTTGACTGTTAGTATTGGGGTTAATAAATTCACCTGGTAGTCTCAGAGTTGTTCCGAAAACCAGTTCCGCAGCTGAACACTGTGCGTCAGTTTTGACAGATGTTCGTATTCCCAACATAACTAATGGTAGGAATTCTGTCCACTGATTGGGGTTTGAGTGAGGGCGGTTTTTAGCTGACGGTGAAAACGTTCTACCATCCCATTAGCCTGAGGATGATATGCAGTGCAGCGTATCCTATTGGAGCCTAGAAGTTTAGCCAAGTTATTAAATAGTTCGGATTCGAATTGCGCTCCTCTATCCGTCGTTATTGTTATGGGTGTACCAAAAATGGTTACCCAGTTCTGCATGAATACTTTGGCTACTGTTTCCGCTGTGATGTCCGCTATCGAGATGGCTATAGGGAATCTGGTAAATCGATCTATGCATGTAAAAAGATAATTAAAACCGTTTGAACGAGGTAAAGGACCTACCAAGTCGATATGCACATGGGCAAAACGTGCATCTGGTTGCGAGAAAACACCTATGGGTGAATTTGTGTGACGATTAATCTTTGATTGTTGACATGCTGAACACTCTCTAACCCATTTGTGTACATCCTTCTGTAAATTCGGCCATATATATCTGGCATTGATTAGTTTAGTTGAAGCTTTTGCGCCAGGATGAGACAAAGAATGAAAGTTATTATATATCAACTTTCGCATACTTTTGGGAACGAAAGGTCGCGGAATAGCCTTGGTCGTGTCACAGTAGACTAGAATACCATCGACCGGTGATGGGATCTGTTTTAAATTAAGACTTGAATTGTTTGTTTTAAGAAGGTTTTGTAATTCTAGATCCTGCTCTTGTTCGTTTCTCAACGTCTCGAAGTTTACTGTAGACTGCTGTAGCACGTTCATTTCTAGTCTGGATAAAGCATCTGCCGCCTGATTGTCCTGACCTTTGACATGTCGGATATCGCTTGTGAACTGTGATATATAGTCAAGGTGTCGGACTTCTCGAGGTGAGTATTTATCGGCTCTCGCTTTTAATGCATTCGTTAGTGGTTTATGATCCGTAAAGACTATAAATTCCCTACCTTCTAACATGTGTCGGAAGTGTTTAA